AACTAATTCATGACTTTTATTTCTTGCATCGGTGATACATGAACAGGCTTTTGTGTGCAATAAATCTTTGAAAGTTAGTCAGCTCCCATTATGGCGGGCAGCAGAATGACGCAGCGAGTGAGCCCGGGGCACGTGTGCTCGCCTCCGCCACTTGTCACGCCAGTCACTGTTGTCGTAACGGGACCCACATCTCGGTGGCTCCGCCTGCTCTGGAAACCCATACCAGATTCATATCGGGTCGCCTTTTTGCGTGAAAATAGATAAGATAATGTTCTGGTTTGTAGTTGCGGCGTCCGACGAGGCACGATCGACGGTCTGATTATAAAATTACAGGAAGATTGTGTATCAGACTTTTCGTGACCAAGATATATTACGGTGCGCATGGAATATCGCTTGGTCACTCCTTCTGGCAGACTCGCTGTTATAAGTGGTCACGACGCGTCTAGCCCAGGTTTAAGTTTAGGCGTCCGTCTTTTTTTCTGGTTTGCCCATTTTGTCAGGCATGAACAGGGAACGCTGACAAAGATAAGGGTTTCTTTACGCTGAAATGAGGTCTAACCGCCTTGACCAATATCATAAGTCCCCCTTATCTTGTGCAAGTGACAGTCGCTATGCTGTAACTGTACCTGTGCTCTCGTATCGGAATGACTATCTTCCTCCTATCTCTTACATTTAAAAATATGAAATACTTGAGTTTTTATCAGTGCAAAGGCTTGTGCTATACCCTGGCCCTCGTCCACGAACAAGCCCCAATTACCACAAGGCTACTCGACTGGATGACGCGATGGAACATATCTTTCTGCATCTGTTACGGCTTTGCTCTTTATCTTTCCAGAAACTCCGTTACGATGTCCTCAGATGATTCCTCTAATTCTCTCTAGGCAAAGTGTGAACAGCCTTTTCTGGAAGGCGCCAAGATCAACCTCATTTCATTCTTTTTTTTCTCTCTCTCTCTTTTTTGACTGACCTTTCAAAGGATTTCTCCGATCGTAAAAAAAAGGAAAAAGAATTAGTGAAAATACGCTCCCGCTGACCCAAAAAACTACTCGCTTAAATTTCTTTTCGTTTTTTTTCAGTTGCTTATCTGGGCTAATGGGTGATATACAAATATTTTTACCTTGAGATTTTGAAATAGCTTAGGAGCGCGGCTAAAAGCTTATTCCTATTTCAAAAGGAAGTTATAAGCCTGTTTAGTCAAATCCTTTATGCTGATCCAAAGACCACGCTTGCAATATCATTATTTACTTATTTATTTTCATCTATTACCACCAAAGACGGAGTTCCTCTCGGCCCAGCGGTGCCATCGACCCCGCAGTGACTGGTCGTTTATGTACGGTGAATATTTTATATGCGTTAAAACATTACAGTGCATTTGAGATACGATAAAGATTTTAGAATTTTAAGTACCGTTTTAATGATTGTTCATCGTCGACAACTCTCTAATAAAAGAGAGTACATTCATGGATTCAGTGTGGTAGGTAGTTCGGAAAATGAAAACTATTGTTAGTTATTTAGTGAACAGATTTTTTTAGCCTACTTCTGTATGGTGAAGGTCCGTCTTCTGCGATCAGATTTCGTTCTTGTCAAGGGTATGGGTGGAGAGGAAATTGGAACATTTAATATTTCTTCAATTCATTATTCCTTTTAAATTGGTCTTAGGCATTTTGCTGTTATGAAAGGGCCTGTTTTTTATGGCTATCTTACGCTCTGGTCGTTTAATGTAGATGGAAGGATAGATCTCGTTTTTTTACGTGTGCTCTCCGATATTTTTCTTCTCTCTGAAAAAGGAGGATCTATCTTGCGTGGTCGGCTAGTCAGTAGTTCAGTGTAGATAGGGAAATGAATCTTGTTTTTTTTCTATATTCTATTATTTTTTAGATGTGTTTTAAGATATTTCTTCAGTACAGTACAGTTTGTTTCTCGATGTCGGCTTCTTTCTAGTAAGTTGAAGCGAATTTAAATGTTCAAAAGGTTCAACATGGCGAAGATAGCTGAGTACTTACTTATAATTTATTGATCTTTTTTTGTTAAGATAAGGTGTTAGTGACCTTGAATTGCGTATATACGAAGAATATTTTTTTAACGATGTCACCTCTTGAAACACTTCAGGTTCAAAATTATTATATGAAGCCGCAAAATAAGTTCCGTTTTCGAAGTTAAACCATTAGGTACTTTATTTCATACTTTCATTTGATTTACTCTTGATAACCCAATCAAGAGATGGCACGCGCAATAAATTCTGCTCTCCGGTTTTCATTATAATTACCTGATGAGTTTACGTACTCTAATATTGTCCTTCATTTTTTATACATTAAAATTGGCAACATGAGACCGCAGACTTATACATGTGATTGTTGTATTTCTTCGCTTTTTATCAAAGAAAATTTACAGCATGTGATACTCCTGTCTTTTGATACTGGTGCACATATAACGAATTATACTTTCTGTAAATGGAAAGACTCAGAATATGCTTATATTACCTCTGAAGAGCTCCTATATC